GGCACTAGACCTCCGTTACTCTTCCTTTTCCACCTTTGGGCTCCTCTGCTCATGAAAGCTGTGATCACGCACAGCTTGTCTCCTGCAAAGTGCTGCACTGTATGAGCTTTCTTCCCAGGGCATAACTGTCAGTAACTMACATGGAATGTCTCCCCCTTTTTCCATACTGCCCTTCTTTTTCTTGCTGCCTCTTTACCAGAAATTTACAGGGAGGGCTGCCATCCCTTAAACAGAATAAGGAAGGAGATTCGCTGTTGGGTCAGTTGAAGGTTCCTGCTGTGAGATGCCAACAGGCTGAGAGGGATCAGCCCGTTCCACCTCAGAGCCTCTCGCTGGGGCTGCCCTTATCCCTGACATGCCACGACAGCGTGGTTTCACTGTCCAGCAAGTCATCCTACAGACAAAACAAACACAGGGTGGAGAGAATGACCAAGGGGGGTAGGAAAAACAATCAGGAGGAGGTGAGAGGGAAGAGCACCAAACAGAAGGGGCAGGAAAACACAAGGGAAATTGAGATAGTACACAAAGACAGGGGAGAAAACAGAGGGGGGAAAAGACGACAGATTTGGCTGGAAAACCAGAGGCAAGTCATGGTGTGGAAACAGAAAGAAAGCAAGAGCTTTCTTAGGAAAGCAAGAGCTTTCTTAGGAAAATAGGAGAGCAAGACAAGAGTCCCCCTTGTAAGATACAGGTCTCTGCACTAGTCAAGAGAAGGGGCATCATCAGGAGTTGACTCGGGTCAGACAAGATTGGAAACAGAAACACTCTTTTCCCTGAGTAAAGGAGAAGGACTGGAGAGCTAAATAAAACAGAGAGGGAATTGTACTTGCCTTTTCCTCTAGAACACCCCTAACTGTCACAGGGTGTGGAGCTATTTTTGGAAGCAGGATCCAAATCACACCGAGATCCACCTGACCATACACGTGGAGCATAAATGCCCATAGTGGTTCTGTARAGGTACCCTACAGGTAGCTCAGTACCACGTTTACTTGAATAGCCAGGCATACATCTTCTCTGTGCAAGCACAGTGCCCTGTTAGGCAATAACCAACTGCAGAGCCTAGCTATGGATTGCGCTKGCTTTTGTATGCCTTTCCCAATCAACTCTTGGGAGCTACCACTGACRTTATTTCCATTTAGCTAAAAACCACAAGGAACTTTATTGCAACACCAAAATGATAATTCTCACTTAAATGAAATGAAATAAATGAAACGAGCATCCCCACGCAGGCAGGCGGGGGCTCTGCTGGGAAGGCTGCAGCGCTGCTGGGTTAGGGACACGATGGGCCCAAGCAAGGGGGCTGCAGGCCAAGGCGAGGGGGCTGCAGGCCAAGGCGAGGGGGCTGCAGTACTGCTGGGCAGGGATGCTGCAGGCCAAGGCGAGGGGGCTGCAGGCCGCCCGGGAGCGCGCACGGCGCGCAGTTCCCAGTGTCTGATCGGACATTGCCACCCAGCGGCTGCGGTGCCGCCGCGTCCCTGCACGAGGCCTGCGCCGTGCGGGAAGCTGCACTGGGGCTCGGGCATGGCCTGAGCCCTGCTGCACTGCGCTGGCCTCAAGCGCATYGCGAAGGGGAAGCGAGCGCGCTGGAGAGAGGGCGCAGAAGGGCACAGCTTTGGTACCTGAACCCACCACGCACCGGTTCAGCCCCTCGCGCTGCCCAGGCACAGGCACCAGCCCTGGGGCCCTAGGGTGCCAACCACCTCTTGGCACCCACCTCGGTATCCGCACGGGCGCCAGGCCGCTGTGGACCCGGAGGCGCAATGACCATTTTGAGGCACCTCGGTGCTGCCCAAAGGGCCCGTCAGGACCACGGGGCACCCTGGGGACAAGCTCAGCGTGCATCCACGTGCCCCTTGAGACACCACGGTAAAGGCAAGGCATGTAATGCTAGGAGCGTGAAGGAACAAACGGCAAATCCACGTGGAGATGTGCCAGGGGCTGCACAAACAGGGGATTGGTCTGGGCTGGTCACTCACTCACAGTCACGTCTTCCACAGGCTTTCCACTAAGACTGCTACATAAACTCCGCTTCTGATGTTCAATACGCAGGATGTTCTGTTCACACRTGAACGTTTTGCCTATGTCCCCTTGTGGCGAGGGCTCAGTCTTGCAGAACAAGGGCATTTCCACATTCCTGCTTTCAACGCAGCAAAAAACACCCAACGCCTTCAAATCCACCAAAGGTATTTTCCACYGCAAAGTTGGACGTGGAAGGTCACTCCTGATAACACTGTTAACAATGACACTGTGCAAGGCAGTGAGAAACTGTAACCAGAGTAGGATTACCAAAAAAAACCCACCACCTTTACCTACGGTTTTTACGGGCACAGTTCCCCTTTACATCTCAAACTGCCCTGTCACACGGCTGGCCAACCTGTGGACATCATCTGCTCTTTTGAGAGTCGCTGCAGAGGTGTGATCGTGGCAAGGAAGGGAAGGACCCTAGCGAGATCTCAGCAGGGCTGGTATCAGGCCACACTTGCTCCTATCTAACAGGTTATACATTCTGTTGCAATACTAATGTAAATAGCAGAGAAAGGGAAAAAGTGTCAAATTTGGCAAGGCTACCAATTAACTACCCTCCTATCTTCTCTCCAAATAAGGGTTTGCACATGGCTTTACACAGCAAGAGAAACACAACTACAAGGTAACACGTTTCCTAAATAACTGAAAAACATTAACTATACATCACAGAATTCCTGACCCACAATAAACCCTTAAATAATAAATCATTAAAAATAATAAAATGATTTTAAAAATCATTAAAAGCTTTGTCTACAGCTAAATGTGCCAGAGCATGTGGGAAAACATTACAGGGATGTTTTTTTAAAGTGTCACCTGCTTTCCTGTGGACTTTGGTAAAGTCACTGGCCACTCCTGGGAAATACAAATTAGTAATCGGCTAACTAATCCACTAAGTGTTCCGAGCAAAGACAGGAAACTCGCTACACCTGCTGCTCCTGCTTCCCACCTGGGAAGCCGGATCACAGAAGCAGTAGGGTGGGATGGACRACTGTCAGCTCTGGAGCAGAAACTGCCAGTCAAGTAACTACCAACAGTTAGCAAGCCCAGTGTCTCACTCAATCATCACAAAAYGGGCATGCTTTTTATTAAAATCAAGTTTATCCAACAGCAACATTCTACTGCATGCATCATCAGTCACCTTTAATATTTAAAGCCTGCAGATTTTCCTCCGGTACTCACTGACAGAGCTTTGTCCCACGAGCATCTCTGAACTCGAAAGAGAACAGTTCAACTTGGCAACAGAAGAAGCTCTTTTAAAACACCCACCTACCTCTGAAGCAAACCTTCTGCACAAGACTTGGCAGACTGACAGGGAGGACACACTGAACCAGCAAAAAGAAGCAGAAGTCATTTGAACTTTGTATTTTTCCACAACAAGTAAAGCCTACAGGGCAAGMCAGGAGACCAGGAGAGAGAGATTTTGTGCTCTGCTAGCCAAAAAGTATTAGCAGAGTTACAAAAATATACWTATAATATTATTTTACACATACATATTTAATATTATATATGTAAATATAAATCTATAATAATATATCATTATTATACATGTACACATACAAAGAAAAAAAATCCTTTTACTCGCTAATGCAGAATACACTTTTAAAAATATTTCTTATTGATTTATTGTTAAAACTCTTATTGCCTAAAATTAATTTTATGAAAAAAAACTCTTATCTGCATTCAATAACTCTCAGGTGATGATGATAACTAAAAGCAGTTTAAGAGTTCTCAGAATTTTCACTTTATAGATTTATATATTTCTGATCTAGAATTGTCCAAAGCAAAATAAAAATAAAAAACCCACCAACACCACACAGATCAAAGTTGTTAAACACCACCACAACACCACCCATAACACCACCACAACAAACCCATGCCCATTGCCATCTTACCACAACCACCCACTGCAAATATTTAATCAGCCCAAACAGGCAGCATCTCTCAYGTGCCGCTCATATCTACACAGAGGAGCCATGATGGGCATGATCAAGCACGTTGGTATCAGAGGAAATACCCATTTATAGTAATGGGCATTGCTTTTTTGAGTACTTCCCCTTCTCTCACAAACGGCAAGGCAATGAATATGGGCGTCTTAAAAACAGAGCCACTCAGAAGGCAGCTTGAATGGAAAGATGGCTCTGCTCCATCTTTCCTTACCCAGCACTTCCCTCGTAATCCAAGAGCAAGCTATGTGTCACRGCTGCACCATCCGGTTTGTGCACGTTTCTATTCCCAAAGTGCTGAGATTTCAGATTTACCTGGATTTTACTTTGATTATCAACTTCAAAACTCCAGGGATGCTAGAGYAGAGAGTAGTGCTACTAGGTCTTCCAGGAAGACCTTTTTCCTCCTTCAGTGCCTTTTTCTTCCCAGTAAGCCAAGYGAGTAAAACCAAGCAGTTTGGTAAAAAAGCACAGGGTGTCCTGCCCGTGGCACCCTACAGAGCCCACAAACCAGGGCAGCAGCAAGAGCCGCTCCATTGCTAGGTAAATCTTGACATCCACCCGTCCAGCTTGAGCCCCAGAGCCACGTGCAAACCACAACCCAGCCTAGACCAGCCACAAGCTCTGGGCATCCCCTGGCAGTTTCACTTTTCGTCTAAAGAATTTCCCCTTCCCTCCTTCTCCAAAATTATTATAGCACCGGAATGAATGCAAGCAAACCAAATCACTATGACTGCAGGAAATGCCTAAGACTACATCCAAAAAATAAGAAYGCAGAGAGCCCGAGTCATGCCTCATACAGTGGGAAATTCAGAGTCATTTTCCCGAAGCTGGTGGCATTCCAGTCAACATAAAATTTACTGAAGAAAGGAGCATTAAATCCAATTCCTGTCATCTCCAGTATGAAGTCATGCAGAACTATATTTAATTCAAAAGCTAGCAATAAATATGTTAATATGAAGTTTAAAAAAAAAAAAAAAAAAAAAAAAAAAAAAAAAAAGGAAGGGAAAAAAAAAAGGAAAGAGTACTCACAGCAGTCAGCAGCTACTGGAACAGAAATAATTTGACCCCAAAAAGTCTTGGTTTCTCACAGTTCAGAAGTCTTGTAAATAGGCTCTACTTCCGGGAATGAGAGGCAAGGAGGAATTACAGCACTCAGCACAGGAGGTAAAAAGCACATGCAATAAGCGGGATGATTGCACAACTGTGGCTTTTCCAGTAAAAGGCAAAGCGTTCTGCTGTGAACGTATGTGCCCTGCCCAGATTCCTGCAAAAGAAGGCAATCTAGTAAGTGAGGAGCTTTACAGAATCTGCTTTCGTTATCTGATTTTCAAAATTCTCTCTTTCAAAACAAAATTTAACCCTATTTTTCACAGGTAAATGGAAAAAGACATATGCAAAAGAGAGCTTCTATCAGTATTATGTGATAATTGCCAAAGAAGTCACCAATCTAGAAGTAAGTTTTCTGTTTATTGGTGAAATRAAAGGAACCCACAAACTGATTCTAACTCATACAAAGACCCCTCTTTACTAAAGGGCAACTCTGTTTAGTACCATCAGCACTCACGGTGAGTACAGAGCAGTCTAAGATTAAGACCCGTATTCTACACTCAGCCTCTTGCATGCATATGGGAATAGTGTTACTCATTAAGGAAAATTAAGCAGCTGAACAAGAGAAAATGATACATTTTTTTTTTCTCATTAGATACAATTTCTATCAGTAAGGGTGCCCTAGGACTGCCAGGGTTCAGCTCCCCTCAATTAGAGGTGGGATTTTTACCAGAGGTAGTTCAATGAAAACAACACCCCATCGCTTCAAGCACAGATCAAGACTACCGAATATTTTATGCTTGACCATAAAAGACCAGCAAATAACTGTTGGATTCACAACATCCTATGACTTCCACTTCCAAGGGGCTTATGCTGTGGCAGCCTGCAACTGAAAATACTTTCAGTTTTCCAAGGCCTGATACCCAAACACGTGGGATCTCACACCCCTGAGATTCCAGCACGAGCACTCACACCATAAAACGCCCATAAACATGAGGCTTTTACGCATCYCTATGAAATGCCGGGCAGAGCTGAGACTATTTTCCTACCTACGCCCTGCAACAGAGGAACAACTCAGTGTACTTCCAAGGAAGCCACGTGAGGCTCCGCAGAAGCTCTCGGGAGCCGCAGCGCGCGGGAGCCGAGGCCGTC